GTGTGAGAGGCTGTCGGCGGGCTGTTGATGCTGGAGCTGGACGGCTCGTTTGTGTGACACTGTGCGAGAGCTGACAGGAGGACCAGAGTCCGGCTGGTCCTGCCCAGACCGAGATCTCCGCAAGGAAAAGACCAGACTCGGCGCAGCTTTTTCACTTGGCCAGAGGGACACCGTTTGTGCCGTGTTTTCCCACTTGGATCGAAGCAAGGTCGTCCTGACTTGGCAGAGAAGTCAAAGAGTCTCCCCAAAGGGCTCTCTGAGGAGGCAAAGGGAAGAATCCGAAAGGTCGATAGGGCCAACCGGTCAGTCGCTCAACCAATAAGCCAAACGGTCAATTGAATTCGTGCCGAGCACCTTTCAATCAGAGTGTTCTGAAGGCACTTTAAATAACTTATACATACAAAAGAAAAAGGTACAGAAGCAGGAAACGATTAATATAAAATGTATAAATTATTAAATTAAAACAAAGAATTATGCTAGGAACCGAAGGCCTTCAAACACAAGTGGTTTTAAGGCACAATTTAAAAGCATCTGCAGAGGGTGTGTGGTTTTAACATGGTCAGGAAGAGCGCTTCAAGGCCAGGGGTCTGCCAGTGAGGAGGCTCGGGGTCCTAGCGTATGATGTGAAGCCCTGGCAACGCTGAGGACCCCAGAGCCAGCTTGATGGAAGGAGCAGACTGGGAGGACTGGGTGTAGTATCTCATGAAGGCACACAGGAGACAGCTGGAGAGATCAGCTGATAGACCAGCGAGAGAATTTGTTTGGATTGATTAGACTGGGTCAGCACTCCAGCAGCAAAGGTCTGGACAGACTGTAGTTTCTGAAGCCAGTTCTTGGGTGATCCAGCAAGCAGAGCACTGCAATAGGCTAGTCTTGGGGAGATGAAAGCGTGAACTAATTTCTCAGCATCAGTAAAGGAAAGAATTTGTGTTGTAAATGGAAGAAGGATGTGTTGCGCTTTTTAACAGGATTTGAGGGAACAATTTCTGGATGACGAAAAGTGAGTTTCAGACGGTCTAACCTTGAGACTCGATGGAGAGAGCCAATGAAAGTCACCTTGATATTACTCTTGTTTAGTTGCGGATAATGGTGAGTCATTCACAACTGGGCATCTTCCAGAGTGGTGTTGAAATAGCAGAGTGGGGAATATAAGTCTCGGCTCTTGTTTATATATTCCCAGCCATGTGCAACCATTGCAAAGAAGCAGTAAATGAAATTGAACAAAGGGGCATTCTTCACGGGTGCGTTGCAGTTATGTTCCTGAACTGGCGCACAGGCCTCCTGGCACATATGGACCATGTGCAGCCACTTTGGATTTGTTCAGTTCTGATCCTGGGCCTCACAGTTACACGAGAAGCTCGTTCCCTCGTTTAAATTTGGGTTTGCTGTGAGGATAGGGAGCAATAGATTGGCGAGAGGTGATGCACTGTTTTTGCTTTTGCCTGAGTAGTGAAAGTCATTAAAGGTAGTTCATTAGGACTGACAAAAACATTAAGTGAAGAATTCCTGCCCTCTCTATCCCAAGTGAACCAGGTTTTTTAATGCCTCTTAATGCCCCCTCCCACAAGGTGGTGTTTAAGCTTCAGGTGTTCCTTTGCCCTTACAGTCCCAGACGTTCCAGTTTGTTCTTATAAAACACCATCTGAGTGGCTCCTACCTGAGCAATCAAATCACCTTGGTGTGGAGGTGTCTGAGTGGCTTCAGTCTAAGCAGGGCTTTCCTCGGGAAGCTCTCTCTGGTCCAACAGACCGGACAGCTCAGCTCTTGTAACAGGTCGCTTCTGGTGGGAGTCTGCTGCTCTGGGAAGCCCACAGGCATTTCTC